TCTCGGCTTCTTCCATGTTGGATCCATGTGTATGAATGTGCATGTGAAGGTTAGAAGTCAATACTGGGTATTTTCATCTATTACTCGCCACCTTAGTTTTTGGAACAGGGCTTCTCCTTGGACTTGGGCCTCTGGGTGTTTCAGACAGGCTGACGAGCCAACAAGCACCTGGGATCTACCTGTTCCCCACCCCATTGCTGTGAATGCAGATGTATTCCACCATGCCCAGCTTTTCACTTGGTGCTGGGGAATCCAAACTCAGATCCTTGTGCTTCTACAGCAAACGCTTTATCTACTGGAGCATCTCCACTGGAGCATCTCCCTAGTCCCCAGGACCATACCCCTTGATAGATGCTGTAACAGTCTCTTAACTGGTTTCCCCACTTGTGCCCCTGTCCCCTCAAAAGCAGTAGAATCCTATTTATAAGCCAGATACTATCAGAATTCTATGTCAATCGCCTTTTGGCTTCTCATCTCATTTGAAACAAAAGCTCGTGTTTACAGTGGTCTATGACCTCCTCTTGGGCCCCCAGTGCCCTTCTCTCTGACTTCATTCCTCCTCTCACCCCCCTCTATGTTCTAGTCACACCAGACTCCTTGCTGTTCCTAGAACATTCAGGCACCTTGCTTTCTACCTCTTGTTCTCTCAGTCTGGAACATTCTGGCCCTGGGTATATCTGCCTGGCTCTTCCCCGAAGCCTGTAAGTTTCATCCTCATGTCACCTCAGTAAAGCCTTTTCATATCTAAAATCAATTCTCCTTCCCACTTGGTGACTTGGTGGTACTCATACACGCATGCACGCATGCACACATGTACACACACACACACACACACAATTCTCTGCACCCTCTCCTGTTTCTTTGTTAACACCTGGCTGTTATCTGACCTATTACAGAGTTATTTATTTGTCTGGTTTGCCATTGGTATCTGACTACAATGTACACTCCACCAAGGCTGGGATTGTCTGGCATGTGGACTGCCATCTACCCAGTGCCTACCCAGACTACGTGCAGGCTTCAGATGCCTGGATGTCAGCCAGGGCTCAAGTTTCTCCCACTCATATCAAGTCACCAACTTGGTTCCCTGAGCACTCTGTGTGAAGAAAAATTATCGTGGGCACCAGTGAGTCTTTGGTTCAGTTAACATATGTTAACAGAACACTTAGCAGAGGTCAGTATGCCCCTGGAGTTTAGAATGTTTTTTTCCTTGGGGACTTAACTCTACTGTGGAATGTCAAAGAATCCAGGAGAAAAAGTAACTAAGAGTAGACACAGTGTGCCTCTGGTGTTTGCCAAACGCTGCCTACGAAGTGTGCTTCTTACAGACACATTTAAATCTGGGCCTGTGTGTACCCTGACTCACTTTAACCAACATACTCATTGATTTAGTCCAGTGTTCCTGAGGAGGCTGTGCTCGGCAGGACAGTGTCACTGTTCACCGTTGCACTGGTACAGCTGTGGTCTGCGTGTCTCCCCTGGAGCTGACAGTCGCGGAGCTTCCCTTCAACAACTACCCAGGCCCTTGCCCTCTGCCCATGGAGTTGCTGTCACACCTAATTAACCCAATGCTGTGCACTTACTAGTTTGAAAACTTTTTCTTAGGGAGAAAAATATGTTTTTCAAAAAAACATTAGCTCTACATTATCCAAATAAACATCAAAACTAGGACAGAAAGGACAAATGATCATGAGAAGGAAGAATTATACCCAAGGGTCAGGAAATGACATTGATAAGGCCATGGCATGTTGTGTCTGGGTGTGTTTGGAGGTGCTGCAGTTCCAGGAAAATCATGTTCAGATCTTAAGTTCCAAGGGGATACCAGCTGGAGGTGAGGTCAAAGGAGCTGACTAGGTCATAGAGGGGGCCTATAAATGGGACTGTGCCCTTATAAAATTAGGTTGGGGGGACAGAGGGTGGAGAGAGTGGGGGAGTTGAGAGAAAGCTCCCCGGCCCCTCCCACCGTGGGAAGGTGCAGTGAGAGGCCACCTTTTTTTGGAAAAGCACCCACCACTAGACACCAAATAGCAGGTCCTGGATTTTCCAGGCTGCTGGTTCACGAACTGGTGTTATAGCCTCCTACCCTCTCGGTTTGCCTCCCTTTTAGACAGCAGTGGACAGATTTAACACACCCTATTATCCAAGGACCAGGCACCATTTGTCTTTGGTCTCCAGCTAAGGAAACCGAGGCACAGACAAGCGCAAGTGAGAAGCCAGGTAGGACTGGAACCCAGGTCCAGTCTACACTCCCAGCACACGGGTCCCTCAAGACCCCCGGGCCACAGAAGCAGAGCCAAGTCGCCCCGCGCTGGGTGCACCGGTCACCTGGGGCTGAACTGGAATTGCTCGATGGCCGCCCCGATGGTCTCGAGAATCCTCCGGCACGCCTGTATCCCCGGCAAGTCCTCCGAGTTCTCAGACGCGGCCATGCCCGCTGGGCGCTGCGCCTACGGCCACCACTGCTCGCTTGGGGAGTCCGGAACCCCGCGTCTGTTGCCATGGCGACTCCCACAGAAACCAGAGAACCAGAGGAGCCAGGAACGCCCCGACGGCGCGGGGGCTCCAGCAGCCCCTGGTCTCAGCCCCTGGTCCGCCAGACCCAGGCTTGGTGACTAAGCGAGCTCTCCCCTGGCCACCCCCATGCCAGGCCGCCCTGCAATGTCCCCAAGCAAAGGTGCACCCCTGCAAATAATCAACCGCGTCCGCCACGCCCCCACCCTTCTGCCTCGGGCTGGGAAGGCTCTGAGCTCAGCCTCCGGCTTCGACGCGTTTGGAAGACTCGGTGTTTCCTACACCAGCACCCCTTCCGCGTGTTTGTTAGACCTGCGGCCTAATGCCCTCCTCTCCTTGGCTTCCTACCAGATGTCACCTCCTTCCAAGAGGATGGATAAGATGCACCTGGCTCTTGGAGATGCGCATGACTCACAGAGCAGCTCTCTTAGAGGAGAGAGCAGGTGGCCTGACAAATCGCCTACATCGGGTCACTTGACCACACAAGTAGGTGGTTGCCGCATAAAGATGTTGTTTACAGAAATTAAACAGGCCTACGTGATTATTTTATATGAAAGTCGGAATGAAGATTTACACTGTACCGTGTGTGGAATTCAATTCACTAAATAGCTATCATTACTAAGAGAAGCATGTTTTGTTTGGTTTGGTTTGGTTTGGTCTTTTTGAGACAGGGTCAGCTGTCTGGAACTGTCCCCAGCTGTCCCCAGCTGTCCTGGAACTCACTATGTAGACCAGGCTGGCCTTGAACTCACAGAGATACGCCTTCCTCTGCCTTCCCAGTGCTGGAATTAAAGGCGTGTACCATCATGCCCGGCTGAGAAGCATGTTTTTAATTGTGAGGTATCACACCACCGGTGATCACTGACAGGGGACACCTAATCTCAGGGTGTCATTGCTTAGTTTTAGAACTAAGTATTCTTCATCTCCTTTTCACCGTACTGCCTACAGGAAGTCCATCCCGTCTTCAGTACCTTTAGCTGTACTGCCTACAGGAAGTGCTTCCCTTCTCTCCAGCCAGCCAAGTACAAGTTAGTTCAATGTTAGGAATGCAAAGCAGGAAAAAGTCACTGTGGCCTTATCACCATCTTTTGAAATTTTTGATCTATTTTTACTTATATGTATGTGTGTGCCTGCTTGTCTGTATGTGAACTTGTGCATGAAGAGCATGTCAGATCCCTGGAACTGGAGTTACAGACAGTTGGGAATGATGTGGGTGTGCAGAACACAGCCCCTGCCCTCTCTACGAGAGCAGCCAATGCTCTCAACCACTGAGCCATCTCTCCGGCATCACAAGATGAGCCCTGTGTGATCATCCAGGCCTATGAGCCTGACATTCTGGATAGAAGCTCAGGCAGGAGGATGGAGAGTTCAAGGTCACATTGGACTGCATTCTGGTTCCTGTTTCAAAAGCAAACAAACAAGCAAGCAAACAAACAAATAAAAACAAAACAAAACAAACAAACAACAACAAAAAAAAAACAGGTAAAGAAAGGCCGGAAGAAGGATACAAAATGCCAAAAAATTGCAATCAATAACAAAACAAGATAGTCTTTAAAGATTTGTTTTTCTTAGGGGGAGAAAAAGTTATTTTTACTGTACTGAGGGTTTTTATTTTTAAGCTCTAACATCAAAGGCTGGAGAAATAGCTCTGTGTTAGAGTCCTTGCACAAGGCCTTGAGTTCAAGCCCCAGCTGCCTCTAAAGTGGATATTGTGGTGTACACCTGTAATCGCAGCATTCTGGAGGTGAAGGCAAGAGAATTAGAAGTTCAAGGTCATCCACCTATGAAGGGAGTTCAAGATCATCCACCTATGAAGGGAGTTCAAGATCATCCACCTATGAAGGGAGTTCAAGGCCAGCCGACTAGAATCTCAGTCTCTCTCTCTCTCTCTCTCTCTCTCTCTCTCTCTGTGTGTGTGTGTGTGTGTGTGTCTGTCTGTCTGTCTGTCTGTCTTTCCACATACACACACAATCTAAATTTGACTTAGGAAACATTTATTATATAATAAAAAGTTAAGCAAGAAATGTATATATCTACAATACATTATTTTTTTCTTGACCATTCCGCATACACATTTTTAAAATAAAGATTAAATTAGAAAGGAGTCAAGATAATGTAATGTAGTGATAAGCTCCTGGCTGTTTGGCTCCAGGAATTACCAATGATATTTTTAAGCAGAGGCAAGATCTCACAGCTGAGCCGATGAGTCATTGGTCAGTGTTGCATGGCATTTGTTGGTGATACCTGCTGCGTAGTTACACCATCCCTCAGAAACAGGAATTGAACAAAACATCTTTGTTGGAACCTTGCTATATCCTATCAGTATCCAGGAGATCAAGGAATGAGGATGACTGTATTTGCAACAATGAACAACATAGCATTTCTTTGCTTGTCAGCCCCCTAAGCTTATATAATTGTTGGTTACAGGCCACAGTCTTCCCTGCTAATAAGGACTGGCAGTGCAGAGCATCTGTCATACTCCGTCCGGTCTTTTTCGATCAGCCATTAAATTCATTAGTAGTTTTTAATGGTTTTGGAGAAAGTTTATGAGCTCCTAGATAAACATTAAAAATACAGGCTCTGGGGTTTGGAAAGATGGCTCAGTGGCTAAGAGCACTGGCTGCTCATGAAGAAGACCCAGGTTCAGTTCCCAGCACCCACATGGTGGCTAACAACCTTCCATAACTCTAGTTCCAGGGGATCCAATGCCCTCTTCTGACATAGCATAAAACTGTACCGGGATACAGGTACACTTGCATATATTAAGGCAAAACACTCATACACATTAAAAAAAATACAGGTTCTGAAACTCCCTTCAGAATATTGGTACATCATTTAACATTTTTAAGCTCCTGTTTTCTTAGAAGTAAAAGCTGGATAATGAATTTTTCTCAAAGAACAGTTGGGAATAGTGTATAAAGGAAGAACAGTCCATGTAACACACTGCAATGCAAACAGCAGCCAGGCTATGAAAGTAATGTTCGCCTTCTTAAACCGCAATGGAGAAATACAACTATCGCCTAAAGTTTTCGGTTTTCTAAAAGTTGAACATTTCAAAAGTTAGAATGGTTCTTTAGGTTCTTACATGGTAGGACTTAGGGCACAACTTAAACACATACATGTATGAGTATAATGTGTCTTTGTATGAAAATGCATGCCACCTGCCAATTATCAACGGTGATAGCACCTTAGATTAAGTGGCATGAGGATTTGATTCAGCGTCAAGTGCTGGCTCTAATCATAGTTGTTTACATATTCCAGTTGGACATTATCAGTTCTGTAGTCTAGTAAAAGCCAAGAGGTTCCAGCTGAGGTTTTTAATTTAAATTCTTTCTAGAGCGTCATCATTTGTGAAGTGCTTATTTTTCTTTTATCACCAGCTATAATATATGATTATGTGGTATGAGCTCTGTTATGTAAACTTGTTTTACGTAGTGCTTCATCCATAACCAAAGATTTTAAATAAAGGGTTGGAAAAGGAAACCAAGAAGTCCTAGCCAGGGCAATTTTATGCTACTAAATACTTAGAAGAAAAACTCCACAGGTTAGACCATTTCAGTGTCTTGAATTCTCTTGTAGTGAAGCACCATCTCCACTGTAAACGTGTATTAAAGATGTGTCAGCTGACTGAAACTGAAAGCTGCGATGACAGGCAAGGTGGGGAGTCTGGGTAGGGGCAGCCTGCTTTAAAATTGGGATCTTTGCTGCCAAATGACCTTGAGCTCTGGGTAGACCATTTCCTCTATTTGAAGACAACTTTAAATCATGACCCTGTGGGAAGGGAGAGAAGCAAAAATGAGGGGACAGTAGCAGATCTTAGTTACCCATAGGAGGATGCTCATCTGACAGAGATGTGAGCCCACTGCCAAGGGCTATAACATTGCCATGTGCCTTCATTGTACATAAAGGGAGGTGGTTGGGACCAGCTGAAATCTGAATGGAGAATGCTCCAGGGGCATTTATCATTTAATGCCTTGGAAGGCTTCATCCTTTGTAAAAGACTTCTTTATTTTATATGATGCTAAGAAAAAACCCCAAAAAATTACCAGCTACAATATTACCTTAACACAGAATGACCAAAAGAAGAACATTAGAGACCCTTCCTGGGAACTCTGTTTCATGAGACCCTAGAGGAGTCTCCTCTCCTGAGAAGCAGGACATCCCCAGGCTTTTCGATAACTTAGATATACTACCCTATGGGACCATCTTGTTCTCTGTTCTTTTCCCATGGTCACAAGGCAGCTGGCTGATAAACAATTCATGTTTTCTGATATATACATTCTAACAAACACTTGATCTAGACAGAAAATGTGATTTGGAATAAGGTGACTGCTGAAGTCTTCCTTACCTGTAATGTGTTACCCTCTGTGGTTTCAGTTAGCTGCTACCCATCAAAAATAGTACCAAACCCCACATAGAATGCAGAGCATATGATATTTGGAGAAAGCACATTCACAGAACTTGGATTCAATAATATGTTTTTTTAAATTGCTGTATTTTATTATTTGTTATTTCTGTTACTGTCTTACTGACTCTAATTTATAAATTCTCTTTCTCTCTCTCATACACACACACACACACACACACACACACACACATAGACACACACACACCAGCACATACAGTATAGGGACTGGTAGGCTCTGTGGCTTCAGGCATCCATTGAGAGTTTGGATATGTGCCCCCCGCCCCAAAAGGCCTGGCACATTTCCCTATATCCTAACCTGAATAAACTGCTAAAAGACAGTGTGTAGACCCTCTACAATGAGGACTAGACTCAGATTCAAGAGGTTCCCACCAGGTACACCAGCCCATACATCACCTGGTGGGTAGCTGGGGTCTCTCTTTAACACTCTTCACCTACAATATAGTGCCCCTTCATTGCCCCTCAGCTTTAAACTCATCACAGAAATGGGGT